AAAAAGACGCCAAAATTGTAAATAAGTTTTTCAAATTCTGATAATTTGTTTGTTCTTCCATGTTTTTAATAACTTTCATGTTGACTGTATGAACTGAGCTTCAAGCATAAAGAAATATTTTTCAACAGTAGACAGTCAATAACTGTAAAACCTGAATTGCACTTCCAAAACTGGATGATAATAACAGGCTGCGACCAGTTCCAGTAAAGAATTACTTATTATGAAGAGAAAGCTGACAATAATTATGGTCATAAAACAAACTTCGACGGCGCACTTATCATCCTTACAGCTGAATTGCAGGTAAAAAATATGTATTAAAATAAATTTAATGCTGTCCAACGGAGTAAAAGACCAGAATAGTTCAGGAATATGATAAATCCACCACTTACGTCAAACGACCTTAAATAGATTACATTTCGACGAAAATAAGTCCCATGTTGTGAGATTTGGCATTAGATTATTTTGTGTTCTGAGTTACAGCCAATTACGTTATCCGATCAAATGTATAAAACACGCAACTCCAATTTCAGTCATGTTTTCTAAAATTTCCAAATAAGCTCACTGTCTAATGATTTTTGCTATTTTGCTTCTCCATTCATAATAATTAGTGATGTAACTACTATGCTAGATAATGATATTGTGGATGTAGGAGCCAAAATTGAATAAAACAATCCGAGTAATGTAGATGCTAAGCTTCAGGCACAACATTCAAACGAATGGATACCAGTGTGCTTACCATGAGTTTACGTTAGGTTAGGTGTGCTCGCTAGCGAGTACGTCAAAAAAATCTATGAAGATTTTATTTCTTGAAAGTAGCCGCTAGGGCCGCTGCACAATATGTCATACATTTAATGTCATTTTTTTACGCAGTCGCTAACGAGCACACCTAACGTAAACTCATGGTAAGCAGCACACAGATGTGAAAACAAACATTTTACATAAGCCACACGGTGTAGTAGACACTTGGCATGAGCCTAGGTGTCTCCTAACACGGAACACGTTTAATCTAATAAGTATCGTGACCAATCTAAATATACATCAAGCGCATTCTAACTCCTTGTACACGTGCTGCGAAAATTATTGAAACATCAACGTGCAGTTTCTTGGTAAAGAGCTACCACGTACAGCGGATTTCACAAATTTGTTTACACAGACGTTGATAAAGAACGCTTCCGTTGTATTGTGAAAATGTGAATTTCAAACTTTCATGACGCATTTGAAGAATTTTATGGAATCCAATGGTCTTGAAAAAATCTCTCTTCATCATCAAGTGTTTTCCGTAATTTATTTAGCAAAAGCGTTACTCAGAATATAAATTAATAATAATAATAATATAATTTATTTATTCAAGTAACATGACTCATTATTTGTTAGTTATAAAGGACTTAACCTATGTTAGTAATAATTGGAACATCTAAACTATCCATTAATATTATTTTTTTTGCACAACTCCTGCGGATGTAGTGCAGCAGTAATTAATATAACGGCAGTCCAGTCTACTCGCTATCATAGACAGGATGCTGTTGGGGCTGCCCCGAACCCTGCGCACCAGGGAGGCGCACCTCTTCCGCATGGTCGCGTAAAAACAATCTACTCGCGCCTCTGCAAACATGCCCGATGCGCTGCAGTATCTGGGCAACCCCATCAGCACCCTGAACGCGTTGTTGTATTGGACGCGCAGAGCGCCATACGACACACGCGAACAATCAGCCCACAGACTGCACGTGTAGAAACTAGTGCAGTAGGCTCTGAAAAGAGTTACCTTTACTGCCTATTAATCCTATTAATTTTTTTACCTCACAAATTCTATTGTAAAAGGCACTTCGTCTTGAGCCTACATTGTTACATAAGACAGTATTTTTTAACCGCCGTTCTAATCGTGATCTTTGGCTACTTTTCAATTACAATGTTCCACGAATCTATTATGACCTATCCCTGACGGCTTACAAACATCTGCGGGTCTAAGCTTGGGATATTTTCGTTTAGTTATTAAACACAGTAGACGGTTTAATAAACGGCATTGACATTGTAGATGTTAGCAGTTGTGTCCGTAGGTTGCTTGTTGGCTTTCACTATCGTCGCCTGTTGGCCAAGTGCCGCAGTGACGTCACGGGCACTTGCGTATACGATCGCGTACGTTCACGCGAACACGTAATCGAGAAAAACGGGAGGTGTGATGTTTAAAAATCGATTACGCGAGGGTATTTGACCTAGATGCAACCTCTTGTAGAGAAATCAACATCAGATTATAAATGCACTGGAAAGTGAGAGAGGATTGATGTTCTGTGCATGATGCTTTCAAAAAGGACAATATTATTCAGATTCAATATTTTTTGAAGTCGGTCCAAAATAATATTTTGGAGGATGTTATACTTTATATCAACGACTAGACTGAAATCTAAGTAGTTTTGTTTGGTGGAAATCTCAGATCATAGAAAGAGAAATCTAAAATAGAACACGGACGTACGCAAGATGCTAGGTGAATGTTAATACAATGTTGATGTTTTTATCGTGTTTAACTTCGTTTATAATGCTTTCCTTCCTGTGTTAGTAAATTTTCATTTGACTATTCCGCGAATTAACAGATAAGAAAATATTTTCTTACGAGGCATTAATGATTTGTTTAGTAAACAGATAAGAAAATATTTTCTTATGAGGCATTAATCATTTGTTTAGTTAATTTAATTACATAACATATTTGAAAAGGCCTTCCTTCTGCTTTAGCCGTTTCATAAGGATACACGGTTTCATCATTTTCATACGATAAGATGGCTATTAAGCGGAATTTAAATTCTAAGAACAATCGTCACAAAGATATCAGTATAGTCAAATGCCAAAGGTTATTCGTGCCGCTCTTTAAAATACAAATGTACATTTTGTAATCAAATTGGCGACGAGATATTTTAGATGTCGCGATGACCCTGCCCTTACCTCGGCGTCTCTCCTTTTGACAGGCCTCCGATAAGTCTATCATGCGATGACCCCGTTAAACCAAATCGCTTAGCAACACGAGTTATCGTTCGACCTCCTTCTTGCGTAGTTTACTACGAGCAGATAGCCCGAGCTAGCGATAACCCCGCTGCAAAATCCGCACTATGATTTATCAGGGGATGACCGCGTGAAACTGGTAGCTACGTTTCATTGAGAAACATCTAGTGCGGTGATAAGTGACCCTTTTCTGTGAACTGCTTCTGTTTTGGTTACTTCAGCGTCATTTTCCTTAGTTTCTTCATTAACATTTGGTAGGTATTCTTCCTTATCTCGTAAAGTTCGTCATTCGTTAGTAATATCTATGGGTTTTTTATTGAGTTTTTTTACTGCTAACGTCATATGATTTTGGGCACGTTAAGTTACAATTGCGGGCACGGTTAAACCTTCTTTGGCCCTTAATTGTTTACCGTGCTGTATTTCTTCGTTATAGTTATAGGCAGGTAAGTAGTTGCTTTTTCCTTCGGACGAATAAGGTCAAAACCGGTTGAAAGGCATTGGGGGACACTTGACTGAACCAGACGCCAATCTATGCACTGGTTATAAATAGCGTAATTGGACAGTAACACGGTTAGGCAATGCGGCTGGGAGTAGCAGACGCTTGATGGATAAATTGGTTCTTGTCTGGGTTGCACTATTGCCTAATTTATGTTTGAACTTGGAAGGTCAAAAAGAACTGACTCAAGGATTTCACGGGTTATAAAAGGCTTTTGTTTGAACGGTTTCGTGTTATCGAGGGTCAGAACTCAGACCAGCTGAAGGGTTTCTCTCTTTTTTACAATTCGAGTTTTGCAACGTCAGGAATTCTTGCAAAAGGAATTTTCCAACGTCAGGATTTCAGGCACTCACAAAAGCTCTTGTTTTTTCTCGCGGAAAGTTGGAAGGAAGGGATCGTTTTGTGGGAAGTTAAATACAATACCTGCCATTAAAATATAGCAGATAACGTAATGCATATTTAAAGTATTTTTTTGCGGTTAAGAATCTATTGGACAGTATTATTTTGTAGCCAATGATAACATTGCAAATCTGTGACTAATAGAGAATGCAATCTTGTTCGTTAGTTGTATTTAGATACAGTAATAAATCCATTGATAAAAAAACTTGAGGTCCTTATCTCTTTGACTGTTAAATTGACTGTTTAAATATTATTAGTCCAACTTTTCACTTAAACAACTCGTTACAGAGGCAATTAAGTAATGCACTTATAACATGAACAAATGCGAAAGTAAACTTTATCATCTGCTTAAGTAAGTTAGTAGCTGTTAAACGAAGTGATACATATTGGTATAGAGATAAAATTAGCTCCTAGAGACTGTCATAGGTACTCAGTCAGACTCTAGCTTTTGTACTGAAAAACTTGAATAGGGTGAATAAAAACTCAAATTAATTTAAGAAAAAAAAACATAACATTTATGTGGGCATTTCGTAAATAATAAAGAGTGTTAAAAAAAATTAAATACCCTTTGCCGTATGTTGGTATTGTAAAACTTCTGGAATTCCAGCTTTTTCGTTGGAATTAAATTATGTTAGGTAGGAATTTTTTTGTTCGTGATTTCGTAATTTCGAACACGGGACACGCGATAATTCGTAAGAAATCCACGCGGTCGGAACCGCGGGTAGGAGCTAGTTACATAATAGGCGTAGCATAGAAGATTATGTGCTAACAATACATGGAAAGTTTCAGTTATCAGTGAACCTGTTTGAACACGTCTGTGTAGTGGTGACAATAATAAGCGAAAATAATGACGGATTACAGGGAATTGTTGTTGTAAATAATGATATTCATAAAATCATTATTAAAACTAGCAGGAAAATTAAAATTATTTTGAAAACTTTTTTAGTTTAGCTAGTGTTTTACATTTGGAATAATTTTGTCATACAATAAAAAATAATACTTTGCAATATAAAAGTAACTGCTCATTATTAGAATATCTGCTGAAACTGAAGTAGGTATGACAGTTTGAAATGTAAATTATCATTTGATGAATAAAATACGTATAATTAAGACTTACCTAAGAACATAGGCGTCGACTTGCTCGCTCTGTGTGAAAGAGATAATTTCGCAGCGGACAATTTTCAGCACCTTCTCCCATTGTTGGCTGTCAAAAAAAAATACTGGTTAGTTCATCAGAAGAGTAAATATAAATAAAGTTTACAGATAGTCTATGTAAACCTATCCAAAACTATGCTTAAAAAATTAAGTTAACAATCTACTGAAAATATTTCATGAAGATTGTCTTTAGTGTACCTACCTACATCCAGGTTTTGGAAGTAATATTAAAATATTACATGAACTTCTTTTAAATAACAGATTGCTCAAATAAGTATTTTATACAGAAATATTTGTTTAAAATAATATTTAAGGCATCATGAAGCTAAAAGAAAATTCAAACTGAAATTGAATGTAAAGGAATTATTTTTTGTTGGAAAGTGTAATGATTTATATTGCAATTTGTAGCTCAGTTTGCTACTAATCTACCTTTGTGCACTAAAATAAGAATAATGTAGGTAGATTTACCAGTGCTTTTTTAAACGTAAAAAAAGTACCTACAATATAAATTATTGTGCCATTGTAAGCATGAAAATTATCGTATTATTGACATTAAACAAATGTTTATAGATTAAATCGACATACGGGAACATACAATGGAGTGACGATATAAGTAAATCAAAATGTGCCTGCTTGAGGAAGTTCAAAATCACGCGCCACCGGCGTGGGCCGGCCCGCTAGGCGATAGCCCAACCACGGCCCAGCCTACTTTAAAATAGTTAAAACAGCTGATCCAGAACATTCCACAACAATAGCACACACATTCGCTCTGTTTACAGACGATTTTAGCAACTTACATTTAACAAATATTGAAAAATAACAACGAATAAAAACCTGGAACCTACACTTCGCGGTTAGGTTTTTTACTCGATAAGGCTAAAATGTGCCGGTAACCTAACTGTTATCACATAAAATCATCATTATTACATGAGCAATTTATTGAATTAAATAGAGCTAGTCAAATACAATAATTATTATAATAAAAATTGGACACTTACCGCGGAATCCTCCTTAGGTCCGCATTTTTTGCGGGAGTGAACCATATCTCAATAAGTTTCTCAACTCCCTCAAAGAATTGATCACTATTATTCTCACTGGCATTAGATAATATTTCCGTTTCAGCCATAGCGATTTATTTCTTTTGTTCTGTACTGTTATAAAAAATATTATATTTTATTTTCACTAAAACTCGGCACACAACCACAGCGGACTGATGTCAGAAATTGACTGAAGTGAAGTGTGAATGAATCAAAATTATTGGCAAATGCAGGTGAAAGAAGAGATGGAAGATGGGACCTCTCTTTCTTTCAGAGCGAGCGAGTCGGCGCGTTCGGAAGCACCGAGGCGGAGTCGTGGACTGGGCAAAATGAAAATGAGACAAGGCAAAACTACGGCCCAAACAGTTTTGATATCTTTATTCAATCTCCTTCCATTTTGCTTATTGCAATAAATAAAACACGAATTACCCCATTTTTATTACTTATCTGAACAACGCGAACGGTGTAGTTAGGTTCGAGTAGGTAGGTAGGTATATAGCCTTATTATTATAAAATACCTTACTTGCACTATTGAAATTCTGTGATTATTAGGTTTTGCTTAAGTAACTGATCTGTAATATTAATTAGAACCTAAACTTGCACTAATTTACTTAACTCATCTTAAAGTTTTATTGTTCTTCATTATTGGAAGAATAATATTTTTTTTATTTGATTAAAGACTTTAGTCTAATAATATTGTATTATTGAAATTAATTTAGATTTTACCCTTATTTGGGGTAAATTTGTGTATAAATTGACACACAATATTTTTTATTATCACTACAGTTATCTTGGGTCATAGGTCACATAGTAGTAGGTATTATTTAATTATTTCTCTTGAAATATTACTCACTTATGCTTTGTAAACAACACCCGGAAAAAATACTTCAGAACTGGCATGATTCTCCTCTGATGAAGGCTTTATAGCATCTCTATGAAACAAGTTAATTTCATGGGATTCCCCAAATATCTTAAAATAAAAAGGAAATCTTCAGACTGATATTGCCATGTAAAATATATGGTGCTGTCAGAGCACCTAAGAGTGGTGCATACAAATGTGGAACAGCAATAAAACATACAAGTTCATGACATGTTTTTATTTTGGGTCATAAATCTTCAAAGGATGCGATAAGTCTATGTAACTGTCCATTTTCAACTTTCTTCACTGGCTTGAATTTTGGTTTTATTACAGGTATCACTGGCATAACGTCACTTTCAATTTCGTCCTGGTAAAAATCTTCTATATTGGGCTCCATATCCCGTTTACTGGAACTTGCACTATGGACTCTCTTGTCCCTCTTTGTCTTCAAATCTTCAACATTTGCATTAAGTTCTATTAAGTTTTTGTAGATTCTATCATTGAAGTGGAAATTTAATTTTTTCGTCATCTGAAAAGAGACAAATTAGATATTTTTTTCAATAATGTACACTAAGGCTAGGCTGTTTATTAAGGTAAAAAAACCTTTGCATTACCTTACTTGAGATGTCAAGGTAGTTCCCCTTATTATTAAATATAGCCTTTTAGAAGTACTACCTGCTAGATAAGTAGGTACTTAATTGCAATCCTGAACATACATTGTGGAACTAAAATCTTTTTAGTGACTCACCTTTGAGCTATACTGACATTTATCAATATCTTCAAGAGGCGTAGGAGATGGTAAGGACTTCTTCACATCAGTTAAATAGTGAGCCAACGCTTCGCTAGAGCACAAGGAAGGCTGATTCAATTGATTTTCTTTTTGAGAAGACCGTGAACTTCGATCGGCAGTTGGCAAGTTGGAACAGCCTATATCAAATACTGATGTTTCCTTGAGAGCTGGGGGTTTGGTCTTCTGTTCACAGTTTCTGTTAAGAGTTTTCTTGACTTTCGAATCAAATCCATGCCTATTCATAGTTCTAAATGGAAATAAGCCAACAAAATTACGAAATAATTCATTTAAATTCAAATTTTCTGTTGTTGTGTTTTTTTGACAGTTTATTTTGACGTTTCAGTTTCTTTAGCGGTATTCATGGCCATGGGGATGAATAATTTGGGATAGAAGTTGGAAAGGAGGACCAGGGTGAGAATGGATTAAAATGGCTTAATGAGCTGATGCAGGTGGTGTAGTTGAAATTTATTACTTCTGCATCAGTTAGGTCTGGCCTGTGTGAATTTATCAATAAGAAGATAATTTAGAAGAAACTAAAGCTAAAAACGGAACGTTTCCCATTAAACTGTCAATGTCAAATGTACGAAATGAAATGTCAATCCATGCCAGCTGTCAAAATTTTGGAATTTGATTTCGTCGACGATTTTACTTTACTTGAAAAAAATATAGTAGTAGTTAATAAATAAAATACTGTGAATTAGAATCGTAGTGTGTTTTGGTTCATAATAAAATATAGTATTGTTTATTGGTGCGATAGAAAAGGACATGTCCAACAAGAATGTTGAATTTTCTGTAAGGCACCTTGCTCTTCTTCCAAGCTGTTTTGGTTATTGGTAAATTTTGATTTTGATACTAATACTCTTTTACAGAACCCTGAGAATTTGCCAGTGGAGAAACTATCAATATCCGTTAAAAATGCGGGCGTTATCCAGGAAATCAAAGCTCTTGTAAGTACTATGATACATTCTTGTGAAATGCGTGTGCAATCCTGTTAAATAAATACTAATACCTAAAATACCTGGTCTAAAAGTCTAATATTCTCTGCAAATAGACTTTTTATAAAGCACTTTTACATGTCCCAGTATAAATCTAACCTTACCACTACATCTTATTATTAGGGGAATCCCGGTGTCATTCATTTCAAACTTTGTTAACCTTTAACTGGTGACAAGCGGTCTCACAGGCCGGGCGGCGTCAGTGAAACATCGTTTCACCCCCTTCCCCGTACTTCCAATGTTTCACCGCTTCAGTAGCTTCAAGTTTAGTTGTGTCTAGTGCGCCGTAGCGTAGATAAGGATATTTGCATCATTCAGCTCCAAATCGGCAAGTTACATCGATGCAAAGTTCAGCAGCGGTCTCTCAGACCGCATGTCACCAGTTACGTGACATTTTTTTCATACAGTTTTTTCGTATTTTTACAGTTTTTACTTGAAATTGATACTTAAATAACTCCAAAAAAGAAGCTTAGGATCATTAGTTGGGAATATAGTGCCATACTTTATGAAACGACTTGAAAATCGCCAGTTGAAAAATATCCGGAAAAGGAAGACTCAATTGGGTCAGAAGCCGAATATGTTCCTGAAAACATCGTTCTGGAGCAAAGTGACCATGACTCGGAAGCCGAAGAAAGTGTTTTTGAAGATGAAGGACCAATTGACGAGAATCAGTCAGAAAGTGAAAATGACGGTCCACTCTTATGCCAAACAATAAATGTCCTGACAGCCAATAAAAAATACAAAAGTTTCACCACTGCCAGTTTTCTAAAATTATAGGTTACTTATAAGTGATAGGTTTTTTTAAATTGATTATCATTGGAACTATAATAAAAAATACAAATTTTGTTATAATTTGTTGATTTAAATTTCTTATTTGCGATTATCGATCTCATCTCTAGTTTTTTGATTTTTATTACTACATATAATTTAACAGCAAGTTCTGCATTAAAAATTGTATTTAGAGTTTATTATTTTATTTAAATTTAATTCTTCTATATGCTAATAATCTGTTTTTAAAGATTGTGGTATGCTACCTTACCTAGTTTCTATGCTACAGTCTTGATACGGTAGCGGCCTCTCAGACCGCACGTCACCAGTTACGTTACACAAAAACCATGTCACCAGTTAAAGGTTAAATAAATCATTTACCATCAGTTATCACTAATATTCGCACATGATTAAAAAATCATTTGGTGCAATTATTTAATTTACATAAATCTCTATTGTGCCAATTGCATTATTGGCAATGGCAACAATATTATTTTATTAATAAAGCTTTTAATAGTAAATAAAATTAATGAGCTATAATAAAACAGTATATTTTTTGAATAAATGATTACTGCATGACTTGTAAAATATTTACTTCACAAAATTCATATTCATATTATTAACTAGCGGCCGCCCGCTAGTACTTCGTACGCGCGGATCCCATTTTACCCCCTTCATCTATCTTACGCAGTTTAGATTTTTTCATACAAATGTTTTTTCCCGCTAACTCCCGTTCCCGTTGGAATTTCGCAATATCCTGTTGTAACTAAGCTTTAAGTTTACTAAGAGACCTTCATGCCAAATTTCAAACGTCTAACTTAAGCGGTTTAGATTTTTCATACAAAAGGATTTTCCCGGTAATTTCTGTTCCTGTGGGAATTTCGGGAATTCTTTTCTTAGTGCACCTCTACGGTACCTAAGCTACGTCCCTTATAAATTTCAAGTGCCTACGTTTAGCCGTTTAGGCTGTGCGTGGGTATGTCAGTGAGTCAGTCATACAAAAGGAATTTCCCGCTAATTCCAGTTCCCGTGGGAATTTTGCAATATTTAAGTTTACTAAGGTACCTGCATGCCAAATTTCAAGCGTCTAACTTACGCGGTTTAGATATTTTCATACAAATGTTTTTTCCCGCTAACTCTCGTTCCCGTGAGAATTTTGCAATATCCTGTTGTAACTAAGCTTTAAATTTACTAAGGTACCTGCATGCCAAATTTCAAGCGTCTATGTTACGTGGCTTAGATTTTTTCATACAAATGTTTATTCTCGCTAATTCCCGTTCCCGTAGGAATTTTGCAATATCCTGTTATAACTAAGCTTTAAGTTTACTAAGGTACCTGCTTGCCAAATTTCAAGCGTCTAACTTAAGCGGTTTAGATTTTTCATACAAAAGGATTTTCCCGCTAATGCCCGTTCCCGTGGGAATTCCTAAGTATCCTATAACCTGCCCAGGAGTATGAAGAATAATTGTACCAAGTTTCGTTAAAATCCGTCGAGTAGTTTTTGTTTCTATAAGGAACATACAGACAGACAGACAAAAATTTTACTGATTGCATTTTTGGCATCAGTATCGATCACTAATCACCCCCTGATAGTTATTTTGAAAATATACCTATTTCATGTACAGAATTGACCTCTCTACAGATTTATTACAAGTATAGATTTGCTCACTAAGTGTAGGTACATATAAAATTAAATAAAGGTCTTATAACAAAATACAGTGCTTAAAACTTAGTAATCCTTTTTTGAAATAAATAAAAATTAGATGTCTGAATAATTTTTTTAGGACAAATACTGGGTGGAGAAACGTGAGCTGACGTTGTACGAGCGGCCACCGTCCGGCAGCCACATGCTGCTGGGCGCTATGGACGCGTGGAAGCTGAAGGCTGAGGCTTACATCAGCGACCTCAAGTGGTTGCTTAGCTTGGAGCATCACAAGTTAGTACGATATTGTTCAGACGCGCGTGATAACCATGCTGTTTTTGGGTAGTTCTCATTGATGAAGTACGTTCTCATGAGGTGATAACTGTTTTCTTTTTGTTATACAGAACAAAGCAGGTTACATGTGTGTGACGTAAATGTATGAAAAGTGCCCGTGTGTGGTTAAGATTTGACTTAAATGTACGAGAACTGCCTAGTACGATTTATTGTTGTGCCTGAACCAGGCCTAAGATTTATAATAAAAGCAGCATAGTAGCATAGCAACACTTCGCGCCGAGCAGCGACAAGACTGGAGACCGCAAACGTTACTTTGCTTTGGTTGGTCTATGTCGCCTGTCTCAGTCTATATCCCGGTCTCTTGTCCCGGTTGTTGTCTCGTCTTTATTACATTCAAGTCCCCAACTTCCTATCTGATATGGGACTATATCCATTTCTCATTCCCACTGCTGTAACTCCTGTGTAACCAGTATCTACAGCTTGACCGCCAACAAAAACTTGCCTGCCTTAATTCAAATTCAAAACGTTTATTTGCCAATAACACAGTAATACAGGGTGACAATATTAAATAGGATCATGTGTTTAGTCTGCTCACAGACGTGCAAAAATTACAGGATACGCCTGATAGTTAACCTGTTCCCAGATTCTGGAGCACAGTCCTGTACCACTCCCAAGTCATGGACGCACTGGTGTCATTCCTGCAGGAAGCCTCACCACCTTACGCGCCGCCGCTCGAAGGACGGGACGTGCAGAAGACGTACGCTGAAGCGAGGCGTTTAGTGCTGGTCGTGTTTAGTCGGCTGGCTACCAATAAGGAGAGTAAGGTGAGGAAGCAAAGCTTTTTCCTACAGGCTGGTCACCAACAGGCAGAGGGAGACAAAGAAAGTAGTTGAGGACACAAGAAGAGTAGGTGAGGACATAAAAAGAGTAGGTGAGGATACAGAAAAGTAGGTGAGGAACGAAGGAGAGTAGTTGAGGACACAAGGAGAGTAGTTGAGGACACAAGGAGAGTAGTTGAGGACACAAGGAGAGTAGGTGAGGACACAGGGAGAGTAGGTGAGGAGGACACAAGTAAAGTAGGTGAGGAGGACACAAAGAGCAAGGTAAGGTGAGGACATAAAACAAGTACAGCTTCGTTCCTGCAGGAAGCTTCACCACCTTACGCGCCCCCGCTCGAAGGACGGGACGTGCGGAAGACGTATGCTGAGGCGAGACGTTTGGTGCTTGTCGTGTTTAGTCGGCTAGCTACCAATAAGGAGAGTAAGGTGAGGATGTAAAAAGTGGATGCAGGATTCTATCTGGGGGCGTAGTGTGAGTTTAAATCAAACGCATTCGATATCGATTGACGATTTTAGTTCTTGAAAGTTTCCACTAGGGGCGCTGTACAATCCGTCATAAATGACCACGACGATGTAAACTCACACTACACCACAGAATGAATCAACGAATCCCTAAAAATTTCGGAGAGGGTGATCACACGTTCACGCCACACTGCGCTGTTCATGTATATTTTTTCGATACTACAGACACGCATCGTTCGTCCGCGCGAGTTTTAGCGTAGCAGTCTATTTATTTACTATAGTCTGGTCTGTGAGCACGTAGCTACCCATCCTTATCGCTCGCGCGTAATTATGCTGCTGTCGCGC